CTGGTACAGATTCATAAACAACGCCGTTGTCGGCTTGTAGCCCAACTCCTCACACCGGAGCAAGAACCCCACCATCAGGGAGTAACTGTTCGGCGTCAGCAAGGCCGGAGGAAGCCCTACCATATCCAGGTACTCAGTAATGAAAGGGTGGAGAGGAAACCTCAACCCCTTAGCAAAACTCATCGGGTATACTCCAAAGTATCCCGGTGGTGGAAGAAGAACATGGTTCGTCGGCTTGGGCGCCCTAACCCGCCCGAACGGCCCCACGTACATCTGGGCAACCAGATAGTCGGCCGCACTGCTCTCCGGCTTTATCAGGTAGATGTTGGTGAGATCCAAGTAGGAGACGCCGGGCCCACTCTTCGGCCTCCTCACTCTTTTCGGCTTGGCGGCTCCCTTAACGGCGGACACCGGCCTCGGGCACGGAATGACAGCAGAAGTGGACGCCCCGTCCACCACTCGGGACGCATCTACGTCCTCGCCCTTTGAAGAGGATGCGGACTCCTCATCCTCGCCCTCCTCGTCCATCAGCTCCGCGGACTTGTATGGACTTAAACGCTCAATCTCCTCCTCAAACTCCTCGAGCACCTCGTAGTCAAGCGACCTCGTGGAGGGCTGGTCGTCGTAGGGGTAGTAGTCGTCGTTCAAGCTCTTCATTACTACTACGGGCTTAAGGAGAACTTACGATCTAAAGGTGTTTAGATGCCTAACACTAGATCAACTACTTACGGAGCAAAATATGAAAAGCGAGGAAGATCGTGATGAACACTAACCTCAAACACTGAAGAACACGAAGAACAGGCTTGGGAGTTTCTCTCTCTAGAAAATCGGCCAGCACTTCGACAAATTCAGAATGCAAACGTGATTTTTCGTCGGAGGGGAAGGGGTATTTATAGCCCCCCCCCACCAACGGTCACTACACGTGGCACTCTTCCAATGGCCACATCAACGGCCACCACTGGGGGGCCACCACGTCACCAACGGGCCAGGACCAACCCATATCAACGGCCCACTGGCAAATCAGACTCTACGGCCTACACACGCTCAACGGCTTTTCAACGGCCAGCAAGCGCCCACAACGTCCCATCTGCTTGCCAATATCACAAATGCCAGACAATAAGTGGACGGCAACGGCCAGGAACGTAACGGCCACAGAACAAAGGGGACAAATAGCCCACAGCCTTCGGCTCCTCGTAATAACCCTTGATGATAACTCTCTACAAGCGATCTGCGCACAAGGGTTCTCCCACAGGGTTACCTTGGCCAGAAAATCGCCATGAGAGTTGGATTCAGGGGGACTACGGCGAGACCGCTTCGGCCAGGGACTCAAGCAACTCCTTCACCCCTCACACTCTTCGGCCTGAAGCAGTGGGGGACTGGGGGACTACACCGGCCTCAACGAAACAAAGAGTATAAACAAGGTAACCACAAAGCATGGCCACATCGTCCATACAGCACAACGGAACTTCATCGGCCAAAGGCCCATAACGTCACTAGCAAAGGCCAACAAGCCACTAGAGGCAAGGACACTCATCGTCCTCCGCCAACAATTAATCTTGACGGGCCCTTCGGCCAAGAACACGAAGGCCAACCAGCAACGGCCAAAAGGAGTGCGCGAGCACCCTCATCGGCCACCCAAAGGAAAGGACGCCATCATCCTCAAAGCAAGGAACAACCTCACCGGCCCAAACATAAACTTCAACCACCAACGTCCAGGAAAGGGAAAGCGCGCCTTCAACGGCCGACATCGGAACAAGACACTCATCGTCCTCAAACGAACACGTCAAGGAAACAACGGCCCCCCGCCCACAGCGAGGAGCAGGTAACGGCCAAAGCACATGACAGGATCACCAAAACGGAAACAGCGCCAATACCGCAACGGCTAACAGCCTGGAAATGCCCGCGTCGGCCGAAAGCAACAAAGCACAGAAATCTACTCTCCTTCACTTCGTCTACGTCTCAGCTTAGAGAGTGGGGGACTCCTGATGGAGTATATGGGTCTGAGCCCCAGGACCCAGATACTCGGAAGAGCATAGCACAAGACAACAGAGTGGCGCCCTCGTCGGCCATGACGCCCCCGTCGGCCAAAAAGGTGCCAACTCAGATTACGGTCCTGAGCCTGAGGGACTCGGGTGCCCTCGTCGGCCGTGCCCTCGTCGTCCGTGCCCTCGTCGGCCACGCCCTCGTTGGCCACGAAGACCTCCCAGAATCGGATCCTATACTTACTCATTTGTGCAGCCCATTAGAGGCTTTGTATTCGGCCCAGTAGCGGTCCAGTTGTAAATGGGCCTCCCAAGCCCAAGGCTTGGGAGCCCAACCCTAATTTTCTCTATAAATACTCCCCTTGGGAGTAGTTATAGGGGTTACAAATTCATTCTATTGAAGCATATTATTGCACTTCTCTCTCTAGCTCTCACTTCTCTCTAGAATCTAGGAGATATACTCTGTCACCTCCAATCCCGTTTTAGGATTGAAGCGGTAGTTTTAAAATTTTCAATTTTTATGTTTTTGTTTTTGGATTTATGTTCTTAGGATTGTTTTCTCAATTTTTTAGTATTTTTAAATTTATTATATTTTTATTTTCTAATTTTTAATTTTCACTTTTGTGTGTTTTTAATTTGTATTTTTTTTAACTTTTTAACCTTTCAAGTTTCATATTTTCTAATTTTCTAATCCCATACTACCACCATCTCACTAACAATGAGACATTAGAGGGTGTACACTTATTAAAACGTTGGCTTACGTTTCCAGGGACGTTCGTTGCATGGCCGATTTTACACATCGGGGCGTATTGGGATAACTGCCCACATGATGGGAGGTCATCCCGCATTTTGTGTGCTCAAATTGACTAAATGAGAGCTAGAAGTTCGAGTGATGGGATGGTTAGACATTTAGAGACATCAAATGGGTCCCTCTCTCATTCATTGGCTAAATGACAAAATGAACCTATCCCCCTCCATCCTCATCATTCTCTAAGCCGTTGGGCCGCTACATCAAGTTGTTAATAGATGGACTTGTAATGAATTTATTGTGTATATAGTTGTAGAATATATATAAATAAATAGCACTTAATAAAAGTCGGTTCAGTTCGGTTTGAACCGACTTTAAACCTTCAAAAACCGACTTCGAATCGATTAATTTTCGGGTCCCGACTTTCGGGTCCTGTTCCAGTCGGTTCGGTTTCGGTTCGGTTTTTTATTGTTCGGTTCGGGTCTTTTCGGTTCGGTTTTCAGTTTTTTGGCCTAAAATGTAGCCCTAGGAACTAGTATTCTAGGAGGAAACTGCCACAATAAATGTTATCAATTACATGTTTAATCGAATAAGACTCCTGTAACGTTTCGTACGTTGTGCAATTATTGTTCCTTTAAGTTCACGTTTATGTCGTTAATTCCTGCCTGCTGTCAGATAGTTATGCACGAATGATAGTCTGCCACGTAAGCCATAGGAATATCCCGACCTCACTAGAACTCCGCCCAGGCTCGAGGTCTGTTGTCCAGTCTGACCTAGCTGTGGGTTCCTGTTGTGGGTCTGATTCCCAATTAGGCCCAACGGCTAATTAACATTTATCCCGTTCATGGACTGATTCTGTTTAAGGGCTAATCCTGTTGAGGGCTTCATCCCGTTATGGGCTAATCCTGTTGAAGGCTTCATCCCGTTATGGGCTAATCCTGTTGACGCCTTGATCCTGTTATGGGTTTAATGTATATTTCCGTAATTGGGCCATGGTTGGAGTCCTTGGTACCATCAATTACTTTTATTGTTACTATTACTGTTATTGTCACTGTCACTAACACTAACGCTAACACTAACACTATTACTATTATTATTATTATTATTATTATTATTATTATTATTATTATTATTATTATTATTATTATTATTACAAAAATGTGACCTTCTTTGTTAAATTCCTAAAATATGACCAATAAATAAAAATCTTCACTAATTTACCCTAGTGTACAGTGACATGCTACAGTGACACAGAGACACGGTGACATCCTTCACCACCTCCTGATGATGATTGCCGCTGACCACAGTGACGCCGCCACAGTGACGCCGCAACACAATTTTCAAAAAATTCTGCCACCGTCACCACCACCTAGAGCGCCGCCACCGCCGCCCCACCGCCTATTGCCCCCTCCTTAGCCCAGCACAACCCAGCCCAGTTCAAGCCCCTCCCTTGCCCCAATGAGCATGTCACTTGCAAGTTGCAACCGTGAAGCTGCTGTCCCCACACATATGCCCCCGCCAACTGCCCTTACCTGTGCCGAACAACCCCGCCGCACGTCAGACCATCACCGCCCACAATGGTTCACCCACCCCCATGCCGCCCCCGCCTACACACACCAGCGGCGGCTGCAAACCCCAGCCTCCAGAAATAGATCCAATTTGTGTTGCCTAGAAACCCAATCCGCCATCACTACCCCACCGCCCCTGTCCTTCCCTTGCCCCGCCAGACCCTAGCCTCAACCCCCTCCACCGCAGCGGCCCCAAATTAAATCACACTCATCGTCGATCTAACAGAAATGAAGAAGAGAAGAGGCAGATGCGTGAAGGTAGAGATTGAGGTGATGACGGAAGGCGGCGACTCCTGAAGATGCGAGGATGAGGTTTGCAGATGTGAGGATGGAGATCGATCGCTGATGCAAGGGAGCGGGTAGTCTTTAGGGTTTAATTACTCAGGGGCATTCTGATCACTTCATTATTATTTAGTCACTTTTTTGTTCACACGAATTTCTGGTCATATTCTTGTCTAATGAAAGATGAGATGTAATATTGGCGTCATTCTTTCTAAATATTATATTATATTTAATAATTATAATAACATTAATGAAATTGTCTGTAGTACTTTTTTGTAAACTCCATTATAAGTTAATTATGTTTTTAGTTTTGAAATATGTGTTATTACTGTCATATTTTGTCATATTTTAGTATTATCAAATTTTAGATATAAACATTACTAGTACTTTTCAAGTTTAAAATAAAATTCCTACTTTAGAATTAGAAAACATCTTTACTGAATTTTCCAATAGGAAAAGACCTGTGATCGTACCAACATGAGAAAGACGAAAAGAGGAAATGAGCCATTTTCACTCAGACTTATAGGAAAAGAAGACTGCCCTGCCTGAATTTCTACTGTCGTCTTCTTTCTAGTTTTTCCCACGTTAGTTTAGATCGCCAATTCTCTTATACAGTTGCTAATTCACACGTTTGCAGATAAGGCATCGATAGATTGCGTAAAGTCGTAAACCCGACCAATTTTTAGAGATTAGTTTTTCGTGATGTCTCTTTCCTCTTCACCCGAACTACCATCATCGGCAACGATGACGACGCTGGCAGCGTCAGCGGTGCAGGAGGAAAATCAGAAGGTAGAAGAGCCCGAACGGGCGCAGTCCGTGACAAAGGAGAAAGAAATGATCCACAAAACTAAGGCCATTCAGTTTCTGGGCCGAACAACTCCCATCATTCTCCAGAATGACAATGGCCCGTGCCCTCTTCTTTCTATCTGTAAGCCCCTTCTCCCTCCCATTCACTGTCTCTCTTTTCTAGGTATTTTGGTGTTTGTGTAATGTATGCATGCGCAATTTTGTATCCAATACCATTAAATTAGTTGAATCCAATTTGTGTTGTGTGAATCACTTTAGAGCCCAATGTGAATCTTCTGAGTATTTAATATCAGAGTCTACACGTTTGATGAGGTGATTTTTGTTTACCTGTGATGAATCCTAAATTTTGTTTTTCTCCAATATCATATGTCTATTCATGTTAGCTGACCCCACAATCTATTGTGAGTAAGGCTTGGATGGTATTGTTGTTGTGATGAAACCTAGTTGTTTCAATTTTAATTTTTAATGCTTTCCAGGATTTGGGGATGAATTGAGTATATTTCTCCTGTTATTAGAATGCAATGAACTGCTGGGAACACTAAATCATATGCACTCTCATGCATAAGAGTTTGAGTGAGATAATGAGAGAATGTTTTCATTTGCAAATCATGTTTTCTAGTACAAATCATTTAGGACTGCCAATGATTGTATGTATTTGCTTTTGTTCCACATTTATGATTTGTTTTGTCTATGGATTTCAATTGATCAAAAAAGCTAGCTGATTATGCTGTGCATCATGGCCACATGCACAGCTTTACTGTGTTAATAAAAATAAAATATTTCATTATTCGGTTCATTTTCATAATATGTTTCTCATATTCATTATATCTAGGCAATGTATTGCTGTTGAAGAACAACATTAGTTTGGGCCCTGATGTCGCCAAGGTTTCACAGGAAAAACTGCTCTCTCTTGTTGCAGAGCGCCTTATAGATTCAAACAGTAATATAAATGTAATTCCCTTTTGCTGGTTTGTTTGGGATTGCTTAATATACTGTTCAAAAATAAAACTATAGACCTGAAAAAATTATTTACCTTATAAATATGTTTCTCCCCCCTATTCACTAGTTTTGGGGTCGTGATTATGTAACGAGAAAAAATATTATTTAATTTTTAATAAATGTTGTCATCTTGGTTTGCCTCTTGTTTGGGACCTAGAACAAAGATGCAGGATATATTGAGAATCAACAGCAGAACATTGCGGATGCAATTGATTTGCTTCCCAGGCTTACCACTGGAATTGATGTAAATTTAAAATTCACGAGGTAGGTGTTTTTGTGTTTACCTTTCTGTTTCATATATCTTGTTTTTAATAGTGCAAGTATGTACTTGGCAGTGAGAATTAAAAATAAACTCCTCTTTTTTGTTAGAATTGATGACTTTGAGTTCACTCGTGAATGTGCAATTTTTGATTTGTTGGATATCCCACTCTATCATGGTTGGATAGTTGATCCTCAGGTATACGCTGTTTCCATCATTTTCCCCAGAGTAGTTTCTTTGCATATAGTCATATACATTTGAAGTTGGATCACTCACTTTTTGCAACTCTGTTCTGGCATTATAGTTTAATTTACTCTCTCTGTACCAAATACAGGCTCATCTTTCAAAATATATTTTTGAAATTTTGTCCCAAAATGGAATTCAGCTAGACAAAAAAAGCTAATTGTCATTGAATGTTAATATGTAATGTAATTTTTCATTATGGAAACATGCCCCAATCAAGTTAAGTATGCTATAACCTTAGTTTAACAAACAAATTATAAAAAAAATAAAATGGAATTTACAAGACTTGTACCTTATCAAAGTTAAATAGTTTCACCTTGGTAAAACATGACTCTTTTTGGGAAGGATGAAGAGGGTACTTGTTTAGTTATAGAAAAACTGAGAAAAAATTTATAATTTTGAACTATAATTGACTGTAATAAGTGGGACCTACTTCAATTAGTTTTTTTAGATTTGGTTTTTATGTAAACAGGATCAAGAAACTGCAAATGCAATAGGATTGAAGTCATATAACTCTCTGATGGGGGAGCTTGTTGCTCTTGAAACAGAACATATCAAGGGAAACGGACATAAGGAAAGTGCCGAAGATGATGTCATTGATTTCGTTGCCGCAACAACCGCAGCTCTAGGGGTACCTTCACCTTCTTGCGTTCCAAAAGGTAGTATATCTTATGTCAATTCTCCTGTTTCTGCCTTGTGTAATAATGATAACCTCCCAAAAGATGCAAGAAAAGGTGACATGGAAGAAAAGGTGACATGGAAGAACCTGACATCAGAGGGAGGAGATACGCCAACTTCATCTAATGTTAATGTCCGAAATTCAATCAATGAGAGCACTATAATAAAAGACAATGTTGACCCAAATCTGGTGGTGGAGAAAGAAGATCAAACACCCCCTGAGCCATCTGCAAAAGAAGTTCCTAGTTCTCCATGTAATGCAGAAGACGATAAAAGTGATTGCAATGCAGATTGTGATTTGTCAAGTGGAAGAAAAGCCACAGATGAGACCCAAGTGTTGCCTTCAAGTGTTGAAGACAGAGAACCTATCTATGAAGGAGAAGAACGGATATTAGAATCAGAAAGTGGAAGAGACTACGAAAACCGTGAAGAACCAATATATGAGGGCGAGGCGGTTCTAACTGAACAAGTTGTTGCCCCTAGAGATGTTCAAAAGTCTAACATCACACCAAGGGAAGGTGATAACATTTATATAAAATGCTGGTTTCCTCTTTATGTAACCGTGTCTTTATTACTCCATCTGCCTCCCCAAAAATAAGGGTCTACTTTGAAGAGCTTATATTGTCCCAATGAAACAGTTTTATTTGAACAATGAAGCTAATTTCGTTATTTTTAAAGTACTTCAAAAGGTGGTGTCCTAAACAAGTAAAGTATGTTAAATTTAGTGAAGCCAACAAATAAATTTTGAAATTCGACTAGGACTGATGGTTTGCAATAGTTGTACCTTTGTGATAGATGGCCTTTTTGGGGGTTGGCGAGGTATTTTCTATTGCTACAATGCTGTTGTTCTTTGTTTAACCAAAAGCTTCTGCTCCCTCTTTTTACTTCTCCCAGGGGAACTGGTTAGGAATTTCCTCAAGGCCAGTGCAAGTCAACTGACTATCTATGGGTGAGTTTCATTTTAACCTTCTCTAGTTTATACTCAATCTTGATGAGAATTAAAATGCTTATTTTTGGGGGTGTAACAAGCACTCTCTTTACCTCTTTACCCCCTGCAGATTGTTTTGCTTGCAAGAAGGTCTGAAAGAGCGGGAACTGTGCGTGTTCTTTAGGAACAATCATTTCAATACCATGTTTAAGGTCATTTGAGCTTGGAAAATTGCACTTTTGCACACATGGAACCATTTGTAGTTCTTGATGTGTTTTACAGGACGCATAGATGTGCCTAATATAAATATTTGTGCAGTTTGAAGGGGAGTTGTATATTTTGGCTACGGACCAGGGATACTTAAACGAACCTGATCTGGTGTGGGAAAAGCTCAATGAGGTAAAGACCCAAAAAAACAAGGTCGCTAATGAAATGTTTCTTTTGAAATAAATGGACTCGGTTGCTGCATAACAATTTCAAGGGTAAATTGATTTGTTTTGCTACTTCATTTTGATTTATTATATAAAAAGAATGTATGCTCTTTGTCCTTAGGTGAACGGAAACACAGTTTTCGTGGCTGGAAACTTTAAGGAGTTCAAGTTGGAAACTCGTGAAAATACTGCACCATGGGATGAACAAAGTGTGTTGGCCAGTACAGCTGTAAGCCAGCCTTTCCTCTCTGTGTAGTATATATATCTAGTGCTTTTGTTTTTGTTTTAAAAATAATATTCGAGTCCCATTACATTCTATTTTACAGGACTACCTTGCCAGCATTGACAAACCAGCGGAAGGACAATCAGATTTCAAGTAATTATCCTTGGCTCCGCAAAACCTTCAAATAATCAAAGAATTTATAACAAGATGTTTTTATTTACAAGTACTTGTGTATGTGATATTCTTTTGACATAATTTGGGGCAGCTCTGATCTTCAATTAGCAATAGCTCTTCAGCAACAAGAGTTTGAGCAACAGCAGCAGCAAACACCACAGCAGCAGCAACAGCAAACACCACAGCATCAACCAACCATAAATGCTGGTTCAGGATTGATAACAGGTCCTCAGGTACCCAAATAGGTCCTAAATCAAACATTGGACTCATATCCCGTTTGGTAAATGTTATTTAAGTGAAATGACTGAACCTGCTGAGTTTTATGAAAATAAAAGCAGTTCATAACACCTTTTTCATCTAAATAAGCAAGACATTTTCTGCTAGTACATCTTCAATAATAGATAGTAATTCAATAAAGTGATTTGAGTATATTTTCAGAAGTAATTATGATGGGTATTATAACATAATGAGGTCAGTGAAGATAACCGTGATGTTATTTGTGTATTATTTTTAATATTTGATGATTAATTTACGGAGTATCATTTAGGAGTGTTAATTATTTTCTAAAATAAAAATGAGAAGCTTAAGGCGGGAGTGTGGGACGTCCAAAAAGGCAAGTGAAAAGCTTAAGCTGAGACGGAGGGAGTATGTCACATTATGTTAAAATCACAACGTAAAAAAGTTGTGTATGATTATTTGCTGCAGGTCTCAAGGTACAGTGCACAACATGCGACTTCCTCTTCTAAGCAGGATCCCAAGTCATCTTCTTCTAAAGACAAATGTATTCTGATGTAGTATTGTATGGGCACAACCTTCTTGTAAATGATCCGACTTTTTTGGATTTTGTTCCTTCCGATTCACAAATACATCCAGTTTAAACCGTTCGGTTTTCTTCTTTGTACATATATCATTCCTTGGCAGAAATTGTTTCCGTGGACCAGGATTTCTTTGATTAAAAGTAAAATGTACCCGTTAAATCGCACGAGTTCTTATCGGCCTCTTGGTGGCAGTGTGAGTGTTTCATCCCATGTGATGGCTCCTTGTCACCTTGTGCGCATCAGACCCCGAACCACCTCACCTCACTATGAAGTCGGGATGTGGGGGCACCTGGGGTGGGTGATTCCACCTTTTGGATTAGAGAACTCTTCTTCCTTACCACAAAGAATGTGTTCTATACTACTCCCTCCGTTCCAAAAAATACTTCTCACTTTCCTCTTTGGGCTGTTCCAAAAAATACTTCTCACTTTTCCTTTTTGGACAATGTGTGGCTCACATTCACTTCACATTTTTCTTACACAACTACAACCATACATTTCTACTTTATTCCACTTTCTTAATAAGTGTGCCAAGTCAAACCGAGAAGTATTTTTTGGGACAGAGGTAGTACTATTTAAGCAAGGTCTATCTTTTCTTGTTTTAATCAACTCAGGTAAATGCAATATTTTATTATTCGGCATATATCAAGCCCTTTTCATGAATATTATTAAATTAAATTTAAAAAATAAAGATATGACTTATTTTAAAAGTTTCCAAAAAAGTGACACTAGTTCCTATTAACTCATTATCTATCAGTAATTTGTCACTTCGAAAAATACTATAATGACTTGTCCAGTTATTCATATACAGTGACTAGTCATATTTTCGTTTAAAGAAATTTTGTTAATAACATAAATGTGAATTTTCTACATATTAATAATGATCACTTAACCTTAAAAAAATTACTTCATATGTCCCCAAATTGAGTTCTCAGTTTGACTTCACAGATTTTTAGGTAGCAAAAATAATTATATTGACTTTCCAATTGTGCCCTTAGCATAATAAAGGAGTTTTATGCACCAAACCCTTCATGATATATAAAATTCAGTGTATTAAGCCCTTGTAATTTAAAAAATACGTTAAACCCCCTTATGCGCAAAACTTCCAAGAACAAATTTTATAATTTTGAAATCAATTATCTTAGTGGTATGATTGAATATGTAAATAACTTTGTTAAGATTGCTAAATTGTACAAACACTTTTCATGTATTTGGCAATTAAATTTGCTCATAGAGGAGATTTTGTGCATAAATAACTATAACACAGGGAGTTAGGCACATTTTTAAAATCGAGGTTAATAAGTCGAATTTGTATTTCACGAGGGTTAGAATAGCTAACTACTGTAGCACTCTTAGATTGAATTACTCACCATGGCGGGAAGGAAACGCCATCTCTGGAAAATACTCGTCAATCTTGTTTCAAAGCAATGAGTCGTAAAATAGAAAATCAAACAACAATCTACTCGCACTCGCTTAAACCTTCGCTGCTCATATCCCCGTTTGAACTCAAAGAACAGCAATAGAAGTTTGTTGGTTAGCATTTCAGAAATTTAAAACAAAGGATAACAAATCGTTGTAAGTTTGAAAACGAAGAGATACCACTACCATCTACGAGCACATCGGCGTCGCAGTCATCCATCAGATCACCATATTTAGAATAATCATGTCGATGGTTCCTCCAGTTTGGATCTGGTTAGGCAAAGAACTCTATGAAATCGAGCCGAAGCAACCTGGTATAGTTGTAATTCTGTTAACAGTTGATTAATAAATCGTTAGTGGTCAAACTGATTGTAAAGCCTATATAGGCAGTGCTTTGTACGAATTAATCAGATTTTGACTGGCAATAATTCCACTTCTATTCATTTTCTTCTCTCTGTCTATCTCCATATTTTACGATCACATCTTCTCATTTCTTTACTTATAAGAGAAATTGACAAAGTTAGTAAGACATACAAAAAAGGAAAATTGATCCAACCTATTGACAATCTTCTATTATTAATCCCTTCTACCGGTTATTCTAAATTAATATCAATTAAGGGGTAAACCTTTCCCAAACAGTCTGTTAACCTGCAGCCCATGTATCAGCCGGTAATTAAAAATCACGTGATTGCACGTGATGAATCTTTTATGTTAGCAAAGGCCACAGACAATGGAGAAAGCTGAAGGAGAATAAGGACGAAGGAGAACAACCAAAGCAGCAACCCTCGCGACCTCGCGTGGAAGAATCTGAGTAAGGAGCGAAGAACACAAACGAAAACAATCCTCATGAAGTCCGTCAGTGGGTCATCTTCTTGGACATGTAACTCGATTACGCGTAATTGCCATCACAACATACAACCGAACTTAAGAACGGTGAAGAAATGGCGAAATCTGGGGAGAAAATTCTTTGGATGCTCACTTTGGCCTGTAAGTATCTTGTATTTAAGTTTTCACAGTATTAATTAAGGTTGAATTGAAGTTACCAACAATAATTTGGTTTAGTATAATTAAGGGTTTGTTAGAAGTAATGTTTATTGGCTGGAGATTGTACGAATTAGGAAAAATTTGTAATGGTTTTGTTAGAATCTGGTTTTGACCTTAATTTTTCCTAAAGACTTCACTTTTTCCTGTAATTGTTTTGTTAGAATCTGGTTTTGACCTTAATTTTTCCATATTAAGGTTGTGACTGAAGACTTCACTTTTCCCAGTAATGGTTTTGTTAGAATCTGGTTTTGACCTTAAATTTTCCATTAAGGTTTTGACTGAAGTATGTCCTACTTAAATTTTCCATTGAGGTGGAGTAGGTTACATGTAATTGTGGTGTTGTGAGTTTAGAATGCATATTGTAGGTACTTTGAATGGTACAATGACAATGAGGTGGAGTGTCATGATGAATACAAACTGATGGACAAAGACATAGCCATTGAAAGGTTGTTGGCAGAGAAGAAGTTCTTGGAAGAAAAACTGCAAAAGATAAAGAACAAGAAAAAGAAGATGTGTGTTCTGATAACTGAAATGTAGATGAAGGCTTCCAAAAGTGCTAAAGGAGAAAGAACTGCTATTATGGTTGTACTTGTATCTTGGATAGTGTTTGCTATTCTAAGTTACTTGAAGTGAAATGTATTTGAGTAAACTTTGTAGTCATGTACTTTTTGAGGTTGTATCTTAGGTCTTGTAAGTTATCTTGTATGTTTGGAAGTTGGAATGTAACAGTCAAGAAGTTTACAGGTTGAAATGTAACAGTCATTCTATCATTGCACTACTTTTGAAGAAGTGTAAGTTGTATGCTACTATTCTGCTGTGATATATTAACAGCTTGACACAACATTAAAAGCCAGTAAATTCCCATACACTGGTAAAAAAGCATCTTTATGCTTACCTAATCCACCAATCCAATCAACACCACTGTGAATACCATTATAATCATTATAGAATCCAACTATAATCTAAATCTAAGTGGAATATAGAATCCAGCTGAAGCATAGTACATCAAACATCATCCTTCTGAAGCATAGTACATCAAACATCATCCTACTGAAGCATAGTACATCAAACACCATCCTGAACAACAAATTGGCTACTCATGCAGTGACATTGCTTGAAGGAGGATATGCTGCCCCTGAAATGATATGTGGACCTCCAACTTGACCATTTGGTTTCAAAACAAAACAAAGAATTTCATAAAATTCAATTCCATTATAAATTGTTAGAAATGTAGAATAGAAAGAAATCATTCTCACATTAACAAATGAGTTGCCTTGATCATCAATGAACACACCAAATCCCTCAGGTACCTGCATTTCATCATACAAACACATGAAATAGCAACAATAATCACTTTTGTGTACACAATTGGATTAAATTTAATGGTCATTCATACTTGTCTTCCTCTCCCTCTTCCTTTTCCTCTCCCTCTGCCTCTCATCATGATTCTTCCACCTCGTCCAGTTTGAGTTGGCTGTGCAGTGACATTCCCAATTTCACCTCCTCTTACAGGTTGACTAGTACGGAGAACAGCCTTCCTAGGTCTCCCCCTTGATTTCTTAGGCAGATTTTCAACATTTGAAGGTGTGGCTTTGTCTTTATCAGGACACTTTCTTTTGTTGTGTTGTTTAGACTTACAAATACTACAAGTCATTTCCATATCGTGCTTGCTTAACTTTCCAGGTCTTTTTGGGTCTTCATGGGGATCTTTAATCCTATTCTTTCTGGGTCTTCCCGGTCCTATTTTTATTGGAGGAGGGTCCAAAGGAGCTTCTATTCTAGGCCAATGCCTTTCACCAGGGCATGAGGGGATACAACCACTATAGATTTTCATGTACGTGTCCTTCTTGTAACACTCATGCACATAATCTTCAGGGGCCTGGTGCAGAAAGAAGATACAAGACACAACATGGCAGCATGGGATTCCAGTCAAGTCCCATTTTCTACAAGTGCATGTGTGTGAGGCTAGATAAACCATCACATTGTCCATTCTATGAGTAACTTGGAAAACCATCGTACTAGAAGGCACTGCTGCACAGTTGACTGCTTCATCCTTCTCTTTTTCTAACTTGGCCTGGATCCTAGGACATATACTTTGATGGCTCAGTTGCATTTGTTGCCTTTTCAAGACTATCCTTTGCATTAGGGCACTCCTAAAATCTTCCATCATGAAAATTAGATGCTTTGTTCTAGCATTGATTATGTATCCATTAAAGGTCTCTGCCATGTTGTTTACAATGACCTCACACTTTGTCTTGGTTTGAATAAAAGCTCTACAGACTTGGTTTTGTCATAGGCTTTCAAAGCTGCAGTGGCAGTAGGGCTCAGGCTCTCCATCTCACCAATTGCATCTTCATAATCTGCCTGGTTGTATGCCCTGACCACCTTCCAAAAAGCCATCTTCAATTCATCCCCTTTGTGGTTCTTGTTCCAATTAGCATAGATATGCCTGGCACAGTGGCGATGTTCTGCACGAGGTAGGACTTTGTGCACATCATTCAAGATTCCCTATACACAAACACACAAATAGGTTAACAGATAAAGTATCAACATAAACATGCATAAATGATAGGTTAACAGAATACCCGATGTTCATCAGAAATGATAGTCATGGAAGCATCATCAATGTCACCTAAAGCCCTGTTGAGCTGAATGAAAAACCATTCCCAACTGTCATTATTTTCACCTTCCACTATTGCCCAAGCTAGCGGATACATCTGCTCATTAGCATCTCTTCCAATAGCAGTAAGCAACATACCACCCAAAAAAGTCTTTAAGAAACACCCATCCACACACAGTACTCTCCTACAACCTTCAACCCAACCTTGTTTAACTCCATCAAAGCACACAAATAACCTCTGAAATACAGGTGGGAAAACCCTAACATCAGGAAGAACTTCAAGCTTGAATGTACTATTGGGACTTGCACCTGCCAAAGCCTGTAGATACCTCCCCACTTTGTTATAATGATCCTTCATGCTGCCATGCAATTTCCTATGAGCAATGTACTTCACCTTATACACAAAGTTCTTCTTAACAACAACCTTGTAAGCCCTTTTGACAGTTTTTATTATTTCCTTAGCTGGCCATGCCAGTGTGGTCTAGATTTAAAAACCTCAAGCAATTGTGTAGCAACCCACGATGTTTTAAGTTGTTTATTACTTTCCATGTTTCTGTGACATCTGTGCTCTCCCATTACAGATTTAACCACAAAAGTACCTCTTCTACTGTCCCAGCTAGCATAAATTTTGAAAGGGCATCCGGGTACACATTTAGCACCTAATCTTTGCTGCCTTTTCTTATCACTTACACTAAACATGAGGTTCCTTCCTTGAGCAACTGCAAACCTCACAATTGCATCTCTGAATTTTTCTCTACTTTCAAACCTAGTTCCTACTTTCCACTCAAGGATCTTATAGTCTGTGTTTTCATCCACAACAGGTATCCTTTCTTTTCTCCTTTTCTTCAAAGTATTTTGTTCTTCATCTTCCTCAGGTGTTAATATCTCCTCCTCTGTGTCTTCATACTCACTGATTATTTCAGAATCTGCCTCTACTTCTTCTTAGATCCGACTCTTTCCTTTCCTCTTACTTTGTCCAGGAAGCTTACCTTCAACAGCTTCCTTTTGTAGTTGGGTAGCAATCTCAGCTATCTTAACATTCCAGCCCTTCACTTGTTCCCTAACCCTTTGATACTCTTCATCACTAGTTTCTTGATCTGAACCAACCATTCCATCCACCATATTCTCCCTATCTTCACCTTCTGAAATATCAGCTTCTAGGTCACCAAGTTCAACATTTATTATGTCCTCTTCAGATGGTGGAGTGTATTCTGGGTCAGAGGAGTCATCTTCTTCATCTCATGTGAAAGGACTATGAGGTCTATCACTTTCAAATGCAGGTGAATCATCTGTGAAAGGTTGTGAAGTACCTACACATTCGCCAATTTGAGCACACGCCTTTGCAGAAGCCTGACCTTGAAAAGTGGAAGAAATTGCATCTGTCACTCTCTTCACTTTAGCTCCTCCCCTTGGACTAAGCTTTTTCTTGCTCTTGGATGATTTCATCTCTGGAAATTCAGTTTGTCCCCCATATTCAATGGCTTCAATTAAATCTAGAACATCAATGTCATGAATGACATAACAGTCTATGCACCTGTTCTTTAGCACCAGACTTATCAAATCCCTCACTTGATCATCATGATATGCCCTTTTTAAGCCCTCTTCATAGCTAAGATTTGGAATCATGTAGTGATGGATTGTAGGGATCCAAGTATGTATAAAATGTAGAGATTTGAGCTCAAGTATTGTGGAGAAGATGAATAATAGAATGATAATGAATTGAGATCTAGGGTTTACAAGCTCCAAAAGGAGTACAAATAGAGGAATAACGGGCCGGGCCGCTAATATGGGCCTGGTAGCCCAACTACATAAAAGACTAATCTAGTATACAAATGACATATAAGCAGTACAATAATACAAATGATATTCGTAAGATGTGTGTGGGCCGCTGTCCGGGCCCAATAGTCGTGAGACCCGGGGGTCCGAGTCTATATACTCTATCAGGAGTCCCCCACTCTCTGAGTCGAGAGTATTCGAGGCGAAAGAGAGTAGAACTGTGTGCTGATCTGTCGACGTCTGGTGAGTAAACTTCATGAACAAAAATTTGAATTTCTGCTTCTTTGGTTAACGGAGACGCTAAGTCCCCCGCTCTTCCAGTCCCCCACTCCTTGAGGCGAGTGTAATGAGGTGAAGAGGAGTAGAGTAATGCGTGTCGGATGATGTCTTCAACAGGGGGCCGAGGGTTGACACCTTTTGATCCACGATGGGGAGATGCCTCGTTAAAAACCTCATTAGGAAAAACCCTGTGGGAAAAAATCCTAATGAGGGAAAAAGAGTACACCGGATGCCCCCAAAATGAAACAAAAGGTGCGAGCCCTTCGGCCTGGAGATGGAGCTGCAGCGGTGCCCGTCTGCTGGATGGTCGAGGCCGATCTCTAGATGTGGGTAGCTCATCATGATCAGTAGTCCTAGTCATCAAATAAAGATGACTAAGGGATGGGTCGAGCGACCGTCCACAATATGATGTCTGGTTCATCAAATAAAGATGACCAGAACGTAAGGCCGATGGGCCGAGAGGCCTGTACGAGAGCTCCACGTCGTCAAATAAAGACGACGGGGCGATGGTGCGGCCGAGGGGCTTGCATAAGAGCTCCACGTCGTCAAATAAAGACGACGGGGTGATGGTGCGGCCGAGGGGCCTGCATAAGAGCTCCACGTCGTCAAATAAAGACGACGGGGTGATGGTGCGGCCGAGGGGCCAGCATAAGAGCTCCACGTCGTCAAATAAAGACGACGGGGCGATGGTGCAGCCGAGGGGCCTGCATAAGAGCTCTACGTCGTCAAATAAAGACGACGGGGCAATGGTATGGCTCAGAGGCCTGCATAAGAGCTCCACGTCGTCAAATAAAGACGACGGAGCGATGGTGCGGCCGAGGGGCCTGCATAAGAGCTCCACGTCGTCAAATAAAGACGACGGGGCGATGGTGCGGCCGAGGGGCCTGCATAAGAGCTCCACGTCGTCAAATAAAGACGACGGGGCGATGGTGCGGCCGAGGGGCCTGCATAAGAGCTCCACGTCGTCAAATAAAGACGACGGGGCGATGTATGGCCGAGAGAGGCCTATATGAGAGCTCCACGTCATCAAATAAAGATGACGGGGCGACGTATGGCCGAGAGGCCTACATGAGAGCCCCACATCATCAAATAAAGATGACGGGGTGATGTATGGCTCAGAGGCCTATATGCGAGCGCCATGTCATCAAATAAAGATGACGGAGCGAGATATGGCCGATGGGCCTGTAAATGAGCTTCGCGTCATCAAATAAAGATGACGAGGCGATATATGCCCGATGGGTCTGCAACTTAGCTTCGCGTCATCAAATAAAGATGACAGAGCAAGATGTGGCTCAGAGGCCTACAAATGAGTTCCTCGTCATCAAATAAAGATGACAGAACGATATATGGCCGATGGTCCTGGAGATGAGCTCTTCGTCATTAAATAAAGATGACAGAGCGATATATGGCCGATGGGCCTACAAATGAACTTCGCGTCATCAAATAAAGATGACAGAGCGATATATGGCCGATGGGCCTACAAATGAGCTTCGCGTCATCAAATAAAGATGACAGAGCGATATATGGCCGATGGGCCTACAAATGAGCTTCGCGTCATCAAATAAAGATGACGGAGCGATATATGGCCGATGGGCCTACAAATGAGCTTCGCGTCATCAAATAAAGATGACAGATCGATATATGGCCGATGGGCCTACAAATGAGCTTCGCGTCATCAGATAAAGATGACGGAGCGATATATGGCCGATGGGCCTACAAATGAGCTTCGCGTCATCAAATAAAGATGACGGAGCGATATATGGCTGAACTCTGGGCTCCTTTAGCCTTTCGGCCGGAGACCGCAAGATGTTCGCTATATCTGAATAGGGGGACGAGGCGGTGGACGCCTGTCTAAATATGAGGACGACGACGCTGATGAGTCAGTCCGAATATGAGGACGACAGCGCTGACGAACCGGTCCGAATATGGGGACGATGGCGCTGGTGAGCCGGTCCGAATATGGGGACGAGGCGATGATAAGTCATGCGCCATATGAAGGCGACGGTCACCATCCAGGAAGGGAATGGCGAGCCTGGTCGCTAGATAAGGACTTCGGCGCTGGGGCCAGTCTAAATGTGAGGACGAGGCGATGATGAGCCGTGCGTCATATAGGGGCGACGGTCGCCGTCCGGGAAGGGATGGCGAGCCCAATCGCTATAACAAGACTTCGGCGCTGGGAGGCGGTCTTGAGAGAAATAATCACGTCGCGGCCGAGAGGCTGATCGCGATGTGCGGATGACAATGATGAGGAGCCAGTCCGAAATATGACGACGAGGCGATGATGGAGCCGATCGTCATATAGAGGCAATAGTCACCATCCAGGAGGGGATGGCGAGCCTGATCGCTAGCCCAATACACTCGGCGCTGATGAAACCGGTGTTGGGATAGGGTGTGACGTCGTGGCCGAGGGGCCGATCGTGATGCGAGGTCGTCAGCACTATGAGGCTGATCCAAAAGTCCAAGCAACGGTCGCCATCCGATGAAGGAATGACTGAGACCGGTCTTGGGGATAGATAATCACGCCGAGGCCGAGGGGCCGATCGTAATGTGCGGACGGAGATGATGAGCCAATCCGATAGTATGATGACGAGGCAAGAATGAAGCCAATCGTCATATAAGGGCGATGGTCACCATCCAGGAAGGGATGGCGAGCCCGATCGTTAGCTCAAGACTCTCGGCGCTGAGGAAGCCGGTCTTGAGATAGATAGTCACGCCGAGGCCGAGGGGCCGGTCGTGATGCGCGGATGGCGATGAAAAGAGCCAATCCGAAATATGATGACGGGGCAATGATGAGTCGGCCGTCATATAGAGGCGATGGCCACCATCCAGGAAGGGATGGTGAGCCCAGTCGCTAGCTCAAGATCGCGTTGAGACCGAGGGGTCTGCCGCGATGTGAGCATGACGGCGATGATGAGCCGTTCCAATAAATGATGACGAGGCCATGA